CCGGATTTTTGATAGTTCCAGATTTATGATGTTACACTGTACATAAGACACTGGAGCGTGATGGAGCTCGGTAATTTCCACACTCCCGCAGACTTGATTAATCCAGCTCTGATGCACTGTAATTAGTGTCAGAGCAGCCTTGCTGCTCGTGTATAGGCGCCCTGAGAGATTAAGCAGAGTAATGGAAGAGTGAATGCTATAACTAGTCTTACCATGTTCTGGAAAAGGGGAAAGCATAAAGTCACAGCTTTGTAGATTTAGATTACAATTCCATGTGGTATCCGAATACCTCACATAATGAGCACAGTACAAAAATCAAAATAAAACCTCCATCCCTCATACCCAGGCTCTTTCTCCACTTCACCACTTGCCCTCTTCATACATTCCAGTTACTATGGCCTCCAACACAAACAGCAATCAGAAGAAAATGATACCCTGAAAGAACAGCCCCCACAAAGAGGAAAAACAGGCAGAGAAAAGATGGAAGTGGGGAAGAAAGCAGTCCCCCAAATGGAGTAAGAAAAAGATGACACAGGTTAAGCCATTATACCAGAGAGCAAAATTTGCCACCTAGGAATGAGTTTTTGCTCCTGGCTCACAAACTATAAAAAGGTAATTTCACCCCCAGCAAGAACAAGTTGTACAGCCCTGCACAGCTGAACAGTTTGCCTTTGACAGTGACCAATAGTGGATACTTCAGGGAAAGGTTTAAAGGACCTATAATGCATTAATTGGGTAACATTCTCTAGTTTCCCCTCCTTTCTGGTCTCTTGACAGTACCATTCCTTACAAGAAAAACAAAGCTACTAAAGCAGCCCCTGCTGAAGATTTCCATTAGTTTTTTTACTTTCAACTAGCTCAAATTCAAACCTTTTCTCTTCGTTTTCAAGGCCCTTCAAAACTTGGCCCAAATCCTTTATCCACTTATTTCACATGCTTCCTCCCATGCACTGAAACCAGGCATAGGGATCACATCTTCTGTGTGTTTTTACAGCTCCTTGGAACCTGGGGGGGGGAGGGGGGGGGTGTCTTTACTGGTAGTGAGGGCACTGCATCAATGAAAATAAGTACTATTCAATTTTTAAAAGATAAATGAACCCAAATGTTAAAAATACACAGCTATCATTGCATTCATAAACTGGGCTTCAAGTAATTTGCTAGATACCTAGTAGGCATATGACTAAAGAAAAGGGGACGCACTGTCTAGAGCAGGGGTGGCCAAAATGCAGCCCGCGGGCCGGATGTAGCCCACCCGCCCATTCTATCCGGCCTGCGGGGCCCCGAAAAAATTTAGAAAATTAATAGTTATCTGCCCCTGGCTGCCTGTCATGTGGCCCTCAGTGGCTTGCCAAAACTCAGTAAGTGGCCCTCTGCCCAAAATAATTGCCCACCCCTGGTCTAGAGATAATGCCCATGGGAAAAGTGAACACACCCCCCATGCCACAGTATCAGTGATACCAATGGGCAGAAGAGCATGCCTTCACCTTAAGTGTCAAAAACTTTCAACTCTGAGCTGTCTCCCCCAAAGAAGGTATGAGGTGTCTACAAATAGGCAAAGACTGCTATTAACATGGGTTTTTATTTATATATAATTAGTAAAATCTTAAAAGCAAACCAAATCAAGGGTATCTGGTGAGAGCATAGGCAGCTGAAGAAGAGTCTCTCTCACCCTACCAATCTATAAATGCACTGGGTGATATTTTTTCCATTTATTACCATGACATATGGGTACCTAGCAAATTAAAGTGTAACGCTAATAAAAGTCAATAATCACAATATATTTTGTGTACACATCCTTTTACCACTATCATCTCTCTCTTGTATGGTGGTTTTGGGAAGAGAACAGACCAAAGGACACTTTTTAAATAACTGTATTTCAAGCAGCAGTAGAATTCACTTGTTTGCAATTCAAGAAGACAAAGATTAAACACTCACAAGGTCTGTTGATATAAACCACTCAAAGGATGTAAAACAACATGGTAACAAGTTGTCTTTACATTTTCTAACATTCCTCAGCTTCTTAAATGAATTTAAGATTGTTTTAATATTTGTATATTAGTTTTTTGGAGCAGATTATAGCTGTCCGAGAGAATGCAACTTCTCCCACTGCATCATCCAAACTAATCCATCATGCAGAGTGCTAGAATTGGGCCTTCTGCCCCCAAAGGAAGTACAAGAAAACTTGTAACTGGTGCATCCATAATGCTGGTGCAACCTGGAAGCATCAACACAGCCTTTTTTAGAACTACTTTTCTGATTCTCACTTTCGCTAGGATAAAAACAAAAAAAGTAAACATAGACAAATCAAGAGCCACACGCTTTAAAAAAAAGAAATCGCACTACTCTCTGGTTGTAACCATCCCTGAATAACCTTTGGCTAAAGAGGAACTACGTAAGAACTACGTAACATGAACTCAACAGGCTCTCTGGGAAGCTGGGAGAGGAAACATTAAAAAAAAAGTTAGCCAAATCTTGCACAAGTAACACATACATGAAGTGGTCTGAATCAACTCCAAGTTCAAACGCTAAGCTGAATATCTCGAAATTTCACTTTAGGAAAATAAACTAGGTCTGAATGTAACGTGTAAGCAAACATTCCACTAATAACAAGCCACCAAGCCACAAAGGTAACCAATACCCTAATGAAATAAGAGATAAGGTTTACACGGTGGTGTTAAACCCTGCAAAATAATGTTCTGAACTGGAACAATGTTACGGAAGATAATGTCAAATAATAAAAACTAAAAATTTTACAAAAGTTTCTGTTCCCTATTACGGCAAAACAAAATTGTCGTGCATATCCACGTATCCATTTCAAGAGAAGTACTTCTTAGAAAGCACATGAAGATGCGCAAGAACAGCCCCCACAAACTGCTGAATAATACAGTAAATATGCGACTCTAGTTAAGGCTTCAATCCGACAGGCGCTTGCACACACGCTTACCTTCACCATTACAAGTAGTTTAATTTTAAATTAGAGAAGCTATTCATAACAGAAAAGTTAAGTATTTGCTGACGGTTTTCTGGACCTTGGCTACAAAATACGCACAAACTGAAAGAAATCTCAACCTTTTTGTCGCGTAAGGCTGTGGTTTCCTATTGCTTGACTCCTGCTGGCATGGACATATATCATCACCAGTACCTAAATGTAAGCTCAAATAAGTTAAAGGAGGAAAATACCTGTTTGTACAGAGCCTAGCACAACAGAGCTCAGGGCCAAGACTAGAGCGCCTCACCACTGCCACAAAACCAGTCATTCGTCATAGTCCTATTAAGCAGCCTACTGATCTTAGCACAGCACTGTTTGACACTGGACGTTTTCTGGTCCTTTCGTCACTGCAGTTTGAAGAAACCTAAACCAACAGGCTCCCACCACTTGCCTCAAGAGACTCACAATCCATCCCGTTGCCTCTCCTACACTTTGACTGTACAAATGCTTGATCAAATTACAATCTGTAACCAGAAAGCCAGGTGTTCATCTGTGCACACATGATACCCAAACGGTGCGGTTAACTACATACCTACACATCCTAGCTAGGTCGGGCGTAATGAAGCCTAAGGCCCAGCGGAGCTGTACAGGTACCTAATTGAGCTGCACTTCCTCAGGACGTGCAGAAGTTGTTTTTATGAAGCGTTGTGCAACATTACTCAGGTAACAATCAACCAGCGAGTCCCAGAAATCACGTCGTTACATTAAGTTACCCGCGCAATCTGACCTGCCATAAGGGGGTGAGATTTCTCTTCTCACCACCCCTTCAAAAGGAAAGGATGAAATAAAATTTAAACAGAACAAAACCAAGCAAAACACCCTCCACCAAACTGGTCAATACAAGGCTGCGATTTTTATTTGGAGGTTTCTAATCACGGGATAGGTGAGGAACAGAGAAACACCTAGCCTGCCTGGTACGACACGGACACGGGGTTTCTTTGGCCAATACAGCGGGCCAGCACTCGTCCCACCAACGACTAGTCAGCGACGTGCTTCGTCTCCTACTAGTCACAGCAGGGTCAGATTAGTAGGACTAGTCCTACCATGGCTAGTAAGTGAAGTGCTTTTTCTCCTACCAATCATACTAGGGTTGCATTACTAGGACTCGTCCCACCCTGACTAGTTAGCAATGTGCTTCTTCTCCTACCAGTCACAGTAGGGTTAGATTAATAGGACTAGTCCTACTATGACTAGTAAGTAAAGTGTTTCTTCTCTTACTAGTCCTACTAGTGTAACCCTACTAGGACTAGTCCTACCACAGCTAGTCAGCGACGAGCTTCTTTTCCTACCAATCATAGCAGGGTTAGGTTAGTAGGACTAGTCCTGCTATGACTAGTAAGCGAAGGGTTTCTTCGCTTACTAGTCCTCGTAGGGTTACATTAGTAGGACTAGTCCTACCACGACTAGTAAGCGACGTGCTTCTTCTCCTACTAGTCCCAGTAGGGTTAGGTTAGTAGGACTAGTCTTACCACAACTAGTAAGCAAAGTATTTCTTCTCCTACTAGTCCCAGTGGGGTTCCATTATCAGGACTAGTCCCACCACGACTAGTCAGGGACGAGCTTCATCTCCTCCTAGTCCCAGTAGGGTCAGATTAGCAGGACTAGTCCCACTAGGACTAGTCAGCGAGGTGCTTGCCCAGCGGGGTCGCACACACGAGCACGGAGCGGGTCCTTCCCCCGGCCCGGCCCGGCCGCGCGCGGGGAGAGGTCGCTACAAAGCGGGTGTTTCCCGGCGAGCGGCCATCCCGCTCATCCCTCCTTCCTCCCTCCCGCCCGCCCGCGCCGCCACAACCAAACTTTGTGCCCGCTCCCCCGGCCCGGCCCGGGCCTCCCTCGGGGTCGGGAAGGCGGGAGGACGGAAGGGAGGG